GCTGTGAGGTAATGGGGTCTTTGGCATCCTGGCATGGCTGGCCCACAGGGACACCTCCCCCCATCTCCACCACAGTTGTGGGCGGCTGTGTTAAGAGGCTGCGCTCTGCCCTCTGGGGCACTGCCCCCGTCCTGGCGCTGTCTCCTCACTGTGTGTGGTCGGTGCTGTTCTGTTTCCACAATGCCTGGGTGAGTCACACGGGCTCTCATGTCCTGTACTGTGGAAGATGCCAGGGCCTTGTGATAACTATGCTCCACGATGCTCAACTTAGATCGTTTCAGATGGTGGCAGCCACAGGAAGCCTGATCCACCCATCAGCTCAGTGTTCTTTGCACTTTACTTCCTGCAGTTTCACATCCTCGGTAGTTGTGTTCCCTCTAGGGCGCTTGGGAAGGAAGCCCATGGGAGAACTCATGGCTGAGGGTAAGAGACTTGGCCTGTGTGGAGTCAGCAGTGAAAGGGTGGCCAGGGAGGGCAGGCGCCGCATGTACCTGAACCCACGCTCCTCCCTGGAACGCTGTTCATCTGTGCAATGGTAGGTACAAGGGGGCAGGGTCCAGGGACCTACCTGCTACACTGTCCTTGGTCACCAAGGCAGGGCCCAGAGGGCAGAAGGTGTCGAAGGTTTTCCCCAGCAGCCACTGTTTCCCATTGCGTGTCGTTAGCCAATCACGAGCACTCACGTCATGGGCCACAGTGAAGCCGGCCACGTGGGCCATGGCATCTGTGGCCTATGGGGCAGGGGATATGGCCATACAGGAGGTTAGATCACGGGTGACACCAACACCTTTGGCAAAGGATCTCTAAGCTGTTATCCCGTGTTAGTAGCCAGGGCCAGCCAAAGGTGGGTGAAGGGCAAGGCAGTGTCAGGGAGCAAGGAGGCTGACCGCTTCCTAGGGTCAGGGACAGCTGGCACCGTGTGTTGGTGAGAGGTCAGCACTGGGAGAGGCAGGAGCTGGGGCCTCTGCTATACCCTGGCCTGGGAGCCCCACCTTTCCACCTCACCTTGATGTGCTTGCCTTTCTTTCCAATGACCACGGCCAGCTCCACTTCCCAATCTACTTCCTGTAGGGTGAGAGAGGAACAGTGAGCTGCAGTGGCTTTGGGGCCCATTGTCCATGCTGAGAGGCTGCACACGGTGCTGAAGGGCCTGGACCTTTGTCATTAGGGCTTAGGTGCCAGCCCATGTTTGCCATCACCATGAACCAGAGCCAAGTGAATGACAAGGGACCTGTGACTTGCAGACCCATACATTTTGGGCAGTGGCAGACAGCATCACGGGATGCAGGCACAGGTCCTCTCCCCACTGTGACTGCAGAAGAGCAACACGTGTCCGGCACACTGAGTTTAAAAGTTACTCTGGATACTTTTAACGAAGAATAAATACGAAGTAATATCCTCTAGCAATATGTAACCTTACTGTGTGTCAGGCACTATTCTAAATGCTGTAATGTTGTTAACTCACTTTAGTAAGAAAAAGATTGACATCCCACAAAGGACTTGAGTAAGCAATTCACAAAAAGGCAATGGACATGGCCAGAAAACATGAAAATATGCTCAGCCTCTCCCATAATCCATAAAATACAACTACAAAATAGATATAATTTGGCCTTTAAAATTGGCAGCTCTTTCTGATAATAACCAGTTGGTATGAGTACACCTGACACCCAGATGTTGGTCTCTAATACCACTCCCCATTAAGAAGCACCGGGTTCCTCGGGGAAATGGCTAATTCCAGGTCCGAGACAGACAGTACATGATAAGACTAGAACATCTTGGTCAAAAAGCTAGGATATACAAAAAGTGACGGGAATGGAGCCAACTTGAAGGCCCCTCACTGGCCAAACTGAGGTCACCTAAAGAATGTAAATGATGAATTACAAACAATTGAGTAAAAACAAAAATCATGAATTCACAGTGATATTGAAGACACAGGAATAAAGAGGAGAGGCAGCTTTTCTTCATAGAAGAATGCCGGCCAATAAAAACAGAAGGCATGATTGAGAAGAGTCATTGATCTTGGTCGGGCGTGGTGACTCACGCCTGTAATCCCCGCACTGTGGGAGGCCGAGGCGGGCAGATGACCTGAGGTGAGGAGTTCAAGAACAGCCTAGTCAACATGGTGAAACCCTGTCTCTACTAAAAATACAAAAATTAGCCAGGTGTGGTGGTACACGCCTGTAATCCCAGCTACTTGGGATGCCAAGGCAGGAGAATCACTTGAACCCAGGAGGCAGAGGTTGCAGTGAGCTGAGATCATGCCACTGCACTCCAACCTGCACAACAGAGCGAGACTCTGTCTCAAAAAAAAAAAAAAAAAAAAAAAAGGTCATTGTCCTCTAACCCCCAATGCAATAATGGATTCAGTCAGGATGACCACAGGATTCCTGGATAAGAAGATGGGGCAGTAAGTTAGTTATGTGATCTCAAACTACCACTCACAGACTGCTTATTAATTACAAAAATGGAAATGCGTCTTTCCAATGGAGGGACCTAGTGAATGTCAGCTAAACCAAGTGGTCAAATTCTGGGACCACTGACATGAGCCTCCCAGTGGGATGCAATGGGAAATGTATAACATCTTTGTAGACCTCTTGATAAAAATGCTTACCCTGACACTAATCATGAAGAAATGACCAGACAAACCTAGGCTGTGAAACATGCTATGAGACAACTGGATTCTTCAAGGAAAGGGCAGGGAGCATGTTTGAGATCAGGAGTTGGCAAACTATGGCCAGCTCACTGTCTGCTATAACAGTTTGAATGGAAACCCACCATTCATTTCTGTATCGTCCCTGGTGGTTTTCACACTACAACAGCAGAGTTGAATTGCTGCAAAAGAGATCATCTGACACTCAAAGCCTAATATTTACTAATTGGCCCTTGATATGGTTTAGCCATTTCCCTACCCAAATCTCATCTTGTAGCTCCCATAATTCCAACATATCGTGGGAAGCCCCGGTGGGAGATGACTGAATCCTGGGGGCGGGTCTTTCCCGTGCTGTTCTCACAACAGTGAATGGGTCTCATGAGATCTGACGGTTTTAAAAATGGGAGTCTCTCTGCACAAGTTCTTTTCTGCCTGCTGCTATCCGCCTAAGATGTGACTTGCTCCTCTTTACCTTCCACCACGATAGGCTTCCCCAGCCACATGGAACTGTAAGTCCAATTAAACCTCTTTATTTTGTAAATGACCCAGTCTCGGATATGTCTATCAGCAGCATGAACACAGACTCATACAGCCCTTTAAGTAAAAGTCTATGGAACCATGTTCTAGGTTAAAACTACTAAAGAGATAAAACTGAATACAGTGTGTGGCCTTAGTTGATCACAGAGCAACAAAGTAACCAAATTAAAAGTCATCTTTGTGGCAACTGGGTTTCATGTTAAATATTATTCAAGTTAATTTTCTTGGCTGTGATAATGGTATGGTCATGCAAGCCATTGTCCTTATAAGATGTCTATTTAAGTTTTTATGACTAAATTGTCTTAATATTTGTAATGTGTTTTCAAAGGTCTCCTTCACCCCACCCATGCAAAAAATAAAGAAAAATGTGTTTGCACGTGGAAGGCAGGGAGAGGGCAAGGGAGAGAAAGCAAATACAGCAAAATGTTTATAGTGAAACCAGGTGAAAAATATATGAGCATTCACTGTATTATGTTTTCAGCTTTTCTACAATTTCCAAGACATTTCTAAAATAAAAATTTGAGAGAAAAAGTAACTAGTGTTAGTAAGGGTATATACACTATTGATGGAAGTGTAAATTGCTTTTACAATTTGCTTAAAGGACAAATGGGAGATTTTCTTAAAAGTTTTGAAATACTGCCTATAGTTTAATATATTCAAATCCTAAGAGTTTATTCAAAGGAAACACTAAGGCCAGGTGTGGTGGCTCACACCTGTAATCCCAGCACTTTGGGAGGCTGAGGTGGGCAGATCACAAGGCCAAGAGATCGAGACCATCCTGGCCAACATGGTAAAACCCCATCTCTACTAAAAATACAGAAACTAGCTAGGCGTGGTGGCATGCGCCTTTAGTCTCAGCTACTCAGGAGGCTGAAGCAGGAGAATCACTTGAACCCAGGAGGTAGAGGTTGCAGTGAACCAAGATAGCACCACTGCACTCCAGCCTGGCAACAGAGCAAGACTCTGTCTCAAAAAGAAGAAAAAACCCAAAAAAGGAAGTAATAATGTATTAATGGACATGCAAAGTCTTTTCTACATAAGGATGTTCATTGCGACATTTATTTATGGAAGCCAAAAACTGGAAACAGTATCCAGCAGTAAGGTACTCAGGAATATAAACTACCCTGTACAACACAGAATTCCGTGGTAACCTAAATATGTCAGGGAGAATATTTAATGGCATGAAAAAATGCTTCTGATGGAGTCTTAAGTAAAAGATAAGTGTATGTACAGTATAAACGTATGCAGGAGTGGAGAAACACTGGGCAGACAGAAAAACATTAATATTGCAAGCCCTGGGCAGTGAGACTACGGTGACGTAATTTTTAAATGTTTATCTCTATTTTACCCACAGTGAAGGTGTATTGCTTTTGTAATCAGGAAAACACACACATTAACTTTTTTTTCCAAGGCCACCGTTATTACTGAGTGTATAATCCCCTAGAGTTTCTGCTGAATGTACTATTGAGCAAGAGCTGGCTCCAGCAGGCTGAACACTGAGCTCAGAACGCCCTTGCGATGGCCCAGTGACGAGGGAGGGCGTGGGGAGGCACTGACCTGGCTCTCTGGTGGGAGGACCACCTCATCATAGGGTCCCACGATGGAGCTGGCAAACTTGCTGAAGATGATGGGCTCCTTGGGCACGGACATGTTCAGTTCTTTGCAGTGGTCCACATAATTCATGCCCACACACACCACCTTATCTGGCCGTGTGACTGGAGCCAGGAAGGTTACCTCCGATCGTGGTAGGACTGGCAACTGGGCAGCCAAGGCTCTGTAGAGACCACAGCAGGTGAGAGGGTCTGGCTGGGAACAGGTCAGCAATCCCAGCAGGTTGGGCAGATCCTGCAGCAGCTATAGGTTTTGCTTTTTGAAATGTATTTCCTAGTTCTGTCAACCATCAGAGTCAGTATGAAAATCAAGCCGAGCTATCGTCCTTTGATACCAGAGCAGGGCTTTTATTTTTCCAGTGTTGATTTCCTCTCCCGCTTCGGTAACTCATGTCCATGTAAAAGATACAAACTGGAATACACAGAAAGGTCTCCCGTTTCCCTTCTGGTTCCCCTGTTCCCCTGGCAGCTACTCTATGGATATTCTTCTCCCAGCCTTTTGTATGCAAATGACAGCACCAATCTTTACACTTTTGATAAAAACAACTGCTTTTAGAGATCTCTCCTTAACAATATGTAACAATACATAGAGGGCGTCCTCTTTATTGCTTGTGGTTATATATTACTGCTGTACAGAGATATACACAAGTCCCTAATGAGGGACATGGAGGTTTCTCATCTTTGCAGAATATGGCAATATGGGAACACGCTGTTAATACTGTGAGCCGTGAAACATTTGTATTTTTTCCTATTTTAATAGATGAAAACGACATCTTAACGTGTTTTTATTTTATTGTTCATCAGCTCCTTAGACCAGATTCTGTAGGGGTCCAGGCTTCAGGGACGCTCTCACCTAATCTAGTCCAAATCCAGGAACTGTCTTGTAAAAAACCTCCCTGCAGTCCTCTCTCCTTGTAGGAGCTGGGAGTCTCTATCACTCCCCCAGCTG